TCTGTGGCCGTTTGCGGTCCGATACGCTGCGCATCAGATCAACCTCTGGCCCCGTGTCTCCGTTCCGGAGACTTCGCCGACACTGCGTTGGACGGGAGAGGTTGGCGATGCGTCGCGTTTTCGGGTCTGGGGATCTCGAGCTTTTGTTCGCGATACGTCCGCGGACAAGCTCTCCTCCCGCGCTGTTCCTTGTGTCTTCCTTGGCTTTGTCCCGGATGCGTCTGGCTGGCAGTTTTACCACGCCACCTCGCGCTGTGTCCTGCCCTCTCAGGACGTCACTTTCGACGAGTCCGTCCCCTACTACCGCCTCTTCCCCTACCGCACTGCCCCGCTCCCCCCCCCGCCTCTCTTCCTCGCACCAGGTGCTGCTGTGGTAGACCCCCTCCCCCCTCAGGGTGCCGCTCCCTCAGGTGTGTCCCAGGTAGACCCGGTTGAGCCTGTCGAGGTAGCTGTCGACTCTCGTCCTGCTAGGGGTGCTGAGCCTGAGGGTGCGGAGCCTGGGGGTGCTGAGCCTGGGGGTGCAGAGCCTGGGGGTGCGGAGCCTAGGGGTGCTGAGCCTGGGGGTGCGGAGCCAGCGGGTACGGAGTCTGGGGGTGCTGAGTCTGGGGGTGCTGAGTCTGGGGGTGCTGAGCCTGAGAGTGCTACGTCTGAGGGTGCTGAGCCAGAGGGTGCTGCGACTGACCGTGCTGCACCTGGAGGCGCTCCCTCCTCACAGCAGCTGCGTGAGTGGTACTTGCAGTACTGCAGCCTCAGGAGGGGCGCTTCTGGAGCTAGGGGTGCTGCTGGAGCTGGTGCTCGTGCTTCCCCTCCTAGGCGGGAACCGCCCTCTCCCCAGCGGCTCCGAGAGTGGTACGCTCGGCGCTGCAGTCTCCGGAGTGGCGCTACTGGTGTCGCGGACCCTGCTGCTGCTGGAGGTGCTGCTGGCGCTGCTGGAGACGCTGCTGGTGCTGGAGGTGCTGCTGGTGCTGGTGCTGCTGGCGCAGGTGCTGCTAGAGGTGCTGCTGGTGCTGGAGCTGCTGGAGACGCTGCTGGTGCTGGAGCTGCTGGAGGTGCTGGTGCTGCTGGAGGTGCTGCTGGTGCTGGAGCTGCTGGAGACGCTGCTGGTGCTGGAGGTGCTGGAGGTGCTGGTGCTACTGGCACAGGAGCTGGTGGTGGTGCTGCTGGAGGTGCTGGTACTGCTGGCGCAGGAGCTACTGGTGGTGCTACTGGAGGTGCTGCTGGTGCTGGAGCTGCTGGAGCCGCTGGTTCTGGAGGTGCTCGTGCTGGAGGTCCTGGAGCTGCTGGGGTTGCTGGTGGTGCTGCGGGAGTTGTCGATGGAGACCCTAGGGCTGAGGGTACTGGTGCTGTCTCTGCTGGTTCAGGAGGTGCTGAGCGGCCGCGGCCGTACTACGTTCCGCTCCTTCAGCAGGTTCTTGGCCTCCCGCCCTCTCCTGGTCCTACTCCTCCCCTACTGAGTCCACCGCCTGTCCAGTCGCAGTCACAGTTACAGCCAGCCTCTCCACTGCCTGGTCCTTCTCCTTACGCTGAGCCGACGGGAGGTCTTACGGAGCATCGTGAGCCTGAGTCTCGTCCTCCGTCGCCTGAGTCTCGTCCAGAGTCGTCTGAGTCGCGTCCAGAGTTGCCTGTCCGCGCTGTCCGCGCTGGTCGTCGTGCTCCGCGTGAGCGACCTCCTCCCGTCCCTGGCACTCACTATATGACTCTGCGTCCTTCCACTGCTCCACATCGTGTCCCTCTGCCGTCTCCTCCTGCGTCCTCTCTTCCTGCTCTTGCTGACCCGGAGTCTGACTCTCTTCGTGCGGCCAGTCCTACTGTCACGCGTCTCCTCGCCACTGTTGTCACTGACCCTTCCTTTGAGTCCTCTGCTGCGTCTGCTCTGGTCGCTGAGCTTGTTGACTTTGCTGCTGCCTGTCGTCTGGACTACGCCGCTAGCCTTGTTGCTGAGTCTGAGTCTGTCTGTCCTCCGTCCGTCGGGGGTGAGTGTGCCCTTGGCACGGACGTCCTTGAGGAGAGACATGAGGAGTTTGAGTGCTTTGCCGCTGCTTTACCTCATCTCGTGTCCATGCTGATTGCCCCTGAGGGAGACCCGGATGCACCAAACATCCCGACCCCATGCTCTTACGCAGAGGCGATGGAGGGTCCCTACTCCTCTCAGTGGCAGACAGCCATGGACGCAGAGATGGCTTCCTGGAAGTCCACAGGCACCTACATAGACAAGGTTCCCCCACCTGGGGCGAACATCGTCAGTGGCATGTGGATTTTCAGGGTGAAGCGGCCGTCGGGTTCTCCGCCTGTCTTCAAGGCGCGTTACGTTGCACGAGGCTTCAGTCAGCGAGAGGGAGTTGACTTCTTTCAGACCTTCTCCCCGACCCCGAAGATGACCACTCTTCGGGTTCTGCTGCACGTCGCCGCTCAGCGTGACTACGAGCTCCACTCTCTTGACTTCAGCACTGCTTTCCTACAGGGCAGCCTGCACGAGGAGATCTGGCTGCGCCGCCCACCTGGCTTCACTGGGTCGTTCCCTCCTGGTACCCAGTGGAGCCTCCGGCGGCCAGTCTACGGTCTCCGCCAGGCACCCCGTGAGTGGCACGACACACTGAGGACTACTCTTGCTGCTCTTGGGTTTGCTCCTTCTACTGCTGACCCGTCGCTGTTTCTACGCACCGACACCACTCTGCCACCGTTCTACGTTCTCGTGTACGTAGACGACTTGGTCTTTGCTACTGCTGACACTGAGGCACTCGCCCACGTGAAGTCGGAGCTGCAGAAGAGACACACGTGCACAGACCTGGGTGAGCTGACAAGCTATCTTGGCTTGCGGATCACCCGGGACAGAGCACAGCGCACCATCACCTTGACTCAGTCACACATGGTGCAGCAGGTCCTTCAGCGCTTCCGCTTCACGTACTCCTCGCCTCAGCCCACTCCTCTGCCTACTGGTCACTCGCTCTCAGCTCTGCCTTCGGATGAGTCCGTAGAGCCGAGTGGCCCGTATCCAGAGCTTGTGGGCTGCCTCATGTACCTGATGACCTGCACTCGACCTGACCTTGCATACCCTCTTAGCATTCTAGCACGCTATGTCGCTCCTGGCCGTCACCGGAAGGAGCACATGGATGCAGCTAAGAGGGTGTTGCGCTACTTGTGCAGTACGTCGGGCATGGGGCTTGTGCTTGGAGGACGGACTCGAGTTGTTCTCACTGGGCACTCAGACGCTTCTTGGGCTGACGACCAGGCTACGCAGCGGTCGTCTCAGGGTTACACCTTCAGCCTTGGCTCTGGTTCAGTTTCTTGGCGTTCTACTCGCTCGTCTTCAGTTCTCAGCTCCAGCTGTGAGGCTGAGATCTACGCCACAGCCATGGCTGCACAGGAGTTACGCTGGCTCACCTACCTGCTGACCGACCTGGGAGAGCGGCCTCGTTCTCCTCCAGTGCTGTACGTCGACAACAAGGCCGCCCTTGCCTTGTGTCAGGAGCACAGACTGGAGCACAGAACGAAGCACATCGCTCTTCGCTACTTCCTTGCTCGAGAGCTCCAGCAGCGTGGTCAGCTTCGTCTTGCGTACGTGGCCACTCGGGCCAACACTGCTGATGTGTTCACCAAGGCGCTTCAGCCTTGTGACCATCAGCGTTTCTGTACTGTTCTAGGCCTTGTGCCTACTGTCCCTCACTTGCTCACTTCTTGACTCTGCTTGTACTTTGATCTCTATATATATACCTGCATGCTTACACTTGCTAGGTTGTGATCACTGTAACTCTTGTTATATTATCAAACTGCTTGTGAACTGGTCTTGTGACCGCTTGCTTGTGCTCGGAATTTGTGTGGTATCCTTGAGATCCACCCTGAGCTTGTTTTGCTTTACTTTGCTTTGACTGGTCCTGTGACCCCTTGCTCTCTCCCACTTAGCCTATGGGGGTGTGTCAAACATTATATATGTTATAGTTGTGTAGGCTATAGTGGGTTAGCCTTCTAGGGGGTACACTACTCTAGGGTTTGGTACTTGTACTCCCATTCCCTTTCTAGTTCATCATTCTCGTTCGTTCTTAGATTCTAACAATCTGGTCGGTCGAATTCGCTCGACTACGAAACTCTGCGGGGATGTGCAGATTTCGCCCAGGAGGTTTTGGCGAAGCCGACCTGCGAAACGGCATCACGTGCTCGATGGTGGACATCTAGAGAAACCGTCGACACGTGTTCTACCTGGCACCTGCGCAATGTGCCTGACAGTGCAACCGTCAACCTGCACCTACTTGGTGGGTGCGCACATGTGCGCACATGCTCACCTGTGACTGCAGTGCTGGCAGACCGCCTTGTGTGCAACGCTGGCAAGCCGCCGTGCTGCAGCGTTGGCACGTCGCCCTTCTGCTATGGCAGGTCGCCCTGCTGCAGCGTTGGCATGTCGCCCTTCTGCTACGCTGGCAGGCTGCCCTGCTGCAGCGTTGGCAGGTCGCTTTGCAAAATGCTTGCTAGGTGTTGCACTGCCTTTCTTGCTATATCGACTTGCATGCCTCATTGTTATCGTATTCAATGTCTTTTGCTATTGAAACACTTGCCAAACTTCTCTGTGAACACAGAAAGTAGTGAGAACGCTAGTACAACGCTATGATCACCAGCACAACCCCGTGCCCTCCTACGTAGTCCAGGCCCATTGTATAGTGACTCTCCGCAAAACCAACAGTGCTTGTCATCCCTTGCCTAGGCTACTAAGCATAGGCATTCCCAAACCCTAGATACTATTTTGACATGGGTGCGATTTCTACCCCCCCCTGTATCCAACTCACCAGTCATTCTTTCTCTCGTTGACATTGTATCACGCTAGGTTAGGACCATCGCTTCCGCCCCACCAACCCCCTAGCAAACCGTAGTGCCCTCACGGGGCCCACTAGCGCGCCCCTTAGCAGCGCCTCTTTAGTGGCGCCCGTCGCGTCCCCCCTCCATAGCAACTCCCTGTGCCCTACCATCGCGCCCCAGCCGCGCCCTGCTGTCGCATCCCACCACACCCTGCCATGCCCAGTCACTCCTGCGCCAGTGCCTGCCGCCGCCGCACCTGCCGCGCGTACGCCCTTCGCGCTCGCGCCTGCCGCGGTCACGCTGCCGCGTATGCCGTGCCTGCGCTAGCCGCGCCCGCGTCGTCGGCTCTCGCGCCTCCACCTGCCGCGCTCGCGCCTGCTGCCATCGCGCCTGCCGCACCCGCGCCTCCCGCGGTCGCGCCTGCTTCTGTCGCACCTCCAGCGCCTACCACACCCACGTCTGCCACACCTGCACCGCCGTCGCCTGTGCCTCCCGCACCCGCACCACCGCCACCCGCGCCTGCCATGCCGTGCTCACGCCAGCGCTCGCGCCCGCCAGGCTTGTCACCATGTCAGCCGCAGCGCCCGCGCCTCCTCCACCCGCGCCACCGCCTGCCATGCCGTGGCCTGCCGCCCTGCACCCTCGCGTCCCGTGCTTGTCGATGTGCCTGCTGCAGCTGCGCCTGCTACTTCTCGATATCCTCGCGCCTGCTGCGGCTTGCCCCTTACATTTTGCTCCTCCGCTTGTGGCTGCCGCCTCTTATCTGCTGCAGTTGTGCCCTGCTCACTCCTGCCATGGCGCCCGAGTTCGTGCTGCAGCTCGATGCGGACGGGCGTGCGATCGACTTTGACGTCATGGCTTCAGTTGTGCCCCTGCTTACTCCTGCCAGGGCTGCTCGACGTCAAGCTCCACCTGCGGAGCCAGCTCCATGGTGACGTCACCTTGTATGCCCACGCGTCCGGTAAGCTATTTGTCCCCGAATGTCCTCCTACTCTTGTTGCCGAGGCCACGTCGGACGACCGGGAGGCTCACTTGTAGAATATATATTATATACATCTTCATATAAACTGCTGAACATGTAATGTAGTATAGATTATACAACATGTTTGGTGGTGCACCCTTTGCTTTGCATGTTTCTTGCCTATATGTTCTCGCCATCGTATTCTGAACTCCTCTCCATTCTCAACTTTCTCGTCATCCACCTCACGCTAGTTTCCTAAGCCCCAAATCTTAAGTTCCTAAGTCTAGTTGGCTTCTAACAAGACTCGCTTTACGATTTGGGAGTTGCTTAACGCTGCTGTGTGCCTTGCTATTAGTCGCCTCCTCCCGCCAGCCGAGCGGGTGCACATTCGCCAGGTTGTGACGGCGACGGAGTGTTTGGATGCTATTATTGCTTGCTACTTCACCCGCTCTGCTACTCGAGGGCGTCTCATCCAGCCTTTCCTCTTCCCTAATCTACATGCGCTCTCCACTATCGCCGACCTCATTACCCATCTGCGCTTGCTTGTCACTAGTTTCTACGCTGCTTGCACTACTGACGACCTTGCTGAACACCCCCCTCCCCCACCCCCCCCCTTCGCTTTCCCTCTCAGCATCCTGGCTCGCATTGCTGCGCCTGGGAGACACCGACATGCTCACTGGTTGGCGGCTAGGAGGGTAGCAAAGTACCTGGGGAGTACATCAGGCATGGGACTTGTGCGTGGAGGACTCGAGCCAGCTACACTCACCGGACACTCGGACTCGTCGTACGCGGACTGTGCACAGACGCTGCGGTCTACACAGGGTTTCTGCTTCCGTCTTGGGACAGGAGCTGTTTCGTGGAGATCGACTCGGGCGTCGTCCGTTGCTGGTTCCAACTGTCAGGCAGAGGTCTACGCCGCGGCTATGGCCGCCCAGGAGCTCCGCTGGTTGTCTTTCCTTCTTACCGACCTTGGTGAGCGGCCCCGCTCTCCCCCCGTCTTGTTCGCTGACAACAAGTCTGCTATCCTGTTGTGCGAGGAGCCTCGGCTGGTTGGGAAGGCGAAGCACATCCAGCTTCTTTACTTCCTTCTGCGCAAGTTGCAGCAACGTGGCCGGGTCTGCGAGGTTCAGGTGGCCTGGAGGCCAACAATGCAGGATATCTTTACAAAGGCGCTGCCGCCTTGTGATCACCATCGCTTCTGAACGCAGCTTGGGCTTGTGCCTGCATGTTCTCACTTGCTTTCGTAGAGATCCTTTGTCTTGTACTCTTGCCTCTCTCTATGTATCTCTTTATACCTGCTTGTGGACTGGCCTTGTGGCCCTTACTTGCTCTCAGACAGTGTGGTGACTTTGTGATCCACCCTGAGCTTCTTCTCTTCCTTGTTGCTTGTCCTTGCTTACTGGTCTTTGTTGGTGCAACCCTACGGTTTGCACTCGGCTTGTTGTCCGTGTGCGTGAATGTGTGTGTGTATGGAATGGTATGAGGGCATGGGATAATATATATTTCATGCTTATAATTGTGTGTGAATGTTGAGTCATGATGTCGAGTGTGTGTGTCGAGTCAATAGCGAGTTATCGCTAGACGCGTGTTACGCGGTCGTTTGTGTCTCGCGCGCGGTTTCTATTTTGTCGTGCGCGGTTTCTATTTTGTCCTGTGTCGAACGTTCGGCGTGTCGCAGGTGTGTGCAGCAGACCCATCAAGAACTCAAGGATGAGTTTGTGATGAAGAGCCCGAGCCTTGGTGTCAAGCCTCAAGTGATTTCGAAGCTCGCCAAAAGGGTACACCTCAAGATATTGAAGATAGTTACATTACTTTGTGTAGTGTAACATTTCACTTGGTGTAGGCCCTAGTGAAGGGTAGTTTCGAGACCCTTCGTGGTTGGGGACAGTGTGGCACTGTTCCACATCACTGTACCTCGGCTCTTGGGGTTTGTAGGAGCTGGGAGTCATTCCTAACTCTTCCTAACTCTTCCTATCTTGTGTTCTAAGACTATAGTGGCTGCCATAGTGCCGTTCGTTCAAACTGACGTTGTGTCGTCAATACTTGGTGAAATCGTGCGATCTAAATTGCCTGTTGTAGGCGACAATAAGACGCTCCAGATCCAAGTTAAATCAAGTCATTTTAAGCTGTGACCAGAACGCTATGAACGTTTGAAGCCGCTGTGCAGAAATCCGGCTGTGCACTCTATCTTTCGTTTTAGGCACATTGGAGCCTACTGTGACTATAACAAGTGGTATCAGAGCCCCTTGGAGCAGTTTCGACAATGTCTGGACCTGAGGAAAGGGGTGGCAGAGGTGCTGGTGGCAGTGGAGAAGCTCAAGCTCAAGGCCAACCCCGTGATTCAGCCATGGCGCCCATGCAACCAAGTCTTGGCCCACCTAGGGATGAGCCTAGGGTGTTTGGGCTTGACAAGTTCAACGGTGACAACTTTGCTAAATGGTCCTTCAAGATGGAGAACATCTTTGACCACTATGACCTGCTGGAGGTGATGGAAGGAACGGAGAAGCGCCCCGAGAACGACCCGGAGAAGAGCCCGTGGGTGCGGAAGAGCGCACAAGGCTACCTCCTACTTGGGCAAGCGTTGGGGAGCAGCCAGATCCGTCACATCAAGCCATTCCAGCGTGAACCAGAGAAGGGACCAAAGGCATGGGCTGCTCTCAAGGGTGTACACGCTCCTGCAACAGCGGCGGTAGCGGTGGTGTTGGAACGGCAAATGGCGGCACTACGAATTGAAGAAAACGAAGCGGTTGAAGAAGGGGTGCAGAAATTCTTCGACTTGTTGACGCGGCTTGAGGGAGCTGATTTGAACTACAGTGAGCTCCAAAAGAAGACCAAGTTGCTGGCCTTACTCCCAGAGTCATGGTCCTCGCTCATCATCAACCTTAATCGCGACTTGCCCCGCCTCTCGCTTGAAGACGTGAAGCGAGCTATCCTTCAAGAGGATTTCCGCCACCGTGAGTTGGCGAGTGCGGATGGCGCTGGGGCAGCGAGCATCGGCCGTGGATATGGTCGAGGAAGAGGCAGAGGACGAGGGGGAGGAAGGTTTGGTGGCAGCAACTTCGGCGGAGGCCGCGGGAGTGGCGGTTACGGCAGCGACGACAAGAGCTACGGGCGCGGTCGCGGCCGATTCGACGGCGAGTGTCACTATTGCCACAAGAGCGGACACATGTGGCGCGACTGCTACAAACTCCCTGATGGTTGGACCCCTGCTCAAGGCCAAGAGGGTAGAGGAGCAGGAGGAGGGAGAGGAAGAGGCCGTGGAGGCCGTGGCGGTCGCGGTGGCGGAGCTGCAAACATGAAGAGCGGAGACAACGACAAGGACCCGAGCGACGATCGATACCCGGGTCTATTCTACTTCGTGTCGACGCAAGTACCGGCTGGTCCAGAGAAGGATGAAGGCTTTGAGGAGCCAGCAGCTGTGGGGAAGGTGACCCTACACCCCCTGGACTATTGGGTGATTGATAGTGGCGCTACCTATAGCATGACACCTCGCCCGGACTTGCTCACCGAACTCGAGCCGTCACCGGTGAAGCATGTCACATCGGCTTTGGGGCAGCGAGCAGAGGTGAAAGGCATGGGCAAGGCCATGTTCAAGGGTGCTGATGGGAAGATGGTGGGCCTCAAGAACGTGCTTTGGGTGCCCAGCCTTGCTGCAAACCTGATTTCCGTGCGGCGGTTGGCAAAGGCCGGCATGGACACGAACTCGAAGGGAGCCAAGACCTACACCGCAAGGCTTGGCGATCGAATTCTTTGGGACCTTCATGAGGACAGGGATGTCTACAACGAGATGTGGCAGATCCCAGTGGTCCCTATGCCTAAGGAGAGGCAAGTGGCAGCAAGCATCAGCACCAAGGATGGATCGGTCGGTAGCGACGATGGCGCGAACGGTCGCGCTAAGGAGAATGAGCTCAAGAAGAGCAAACCTGGAGGGACCAGCAAGTTCAGTGAACCTAAGGAGAGTGGTGCAGCAACCAAGGAGCAGCAAAAGGGTGAGGAGAACCCAGAGGCAGCAGCGGAGGAGGACTACGGAGAGAGTATGTGGGGCGCTATTGCGAGCGCGGCATTCTCCAATCCAACTTCGCCTACGGGGGAGTGTGATTGGCTCACCTTGCATCGGCGCATGGGGCATGAGGCCCTGCCCATCTTGCAGCAGCTAGTGAAGAATGAGATGGTTGCTGGCATACGTGTGAAGGGGGAGCCCGATGAGGTGCTTGGCTGCCCGACGTGCATTCAAGCCAAGTTCACCCGGTTTCCGTTCCCTAGTTCGGAGGCAACGGCAAAGGCACCGCTTGATGAGGTGGTGATGGACGTGGTGGGCCCCCTGAAGCTTGGAGCTGCTGGAGCTGAGTATTTTCTCACCATTGTCGACGTCTACACCCGCATGACTTGGGTGTACGTGCTGGCCAAGAAGAGCGACGTGGCTGAAACGTTGAAGATGGATTGGTTCCCGATGGTGGAGCGGCAACAAGACCGTCTAGTCAAGTCAATCCGCACCGATCGAGGGGGAGAGTTCCTGAGCAAGGAGTTTGGGTTGTGGCTGAAGAAGAATGGTATTTGGCACTCCCTCACCATGCCATACTCCCCTGCAATGAACGGCATCGCCGAGCGAGCGAACCGCACAATCACGGAGGCGGCACGCGGGTTGCTCATTGAAGCCGGGCTACCCGACTATTTCTGGCCTGATGCGGTGCGGAGCGCGTGTGTGGCCAAGAACAGAGCCTTGACTCATGTGGGAGCAGACAAATGGGTGCCCTATGTGGAGTGGCTAGGAAGGAAGCCAAAGGTGGATATGCTTCGGGTGTTCGGGTGCATGTGCATGGCGCTCGTGCCTAAGCATCTTCGGCACAACAAGCTTGGTGCCAAGGCGGTGTGGGCCGTGCACTTGGGCATGGCTCAAAACAGGAAGGGATGGCTTCTTTGGGACCCATTCACCAAGAAGTTCTTGGTGAGCAGGGACTGCAAGTTCATGGAGAA